AGATTCCCGAACTCAAACCGCCGACTGATCTGACTTCCATGCGACCGCCACATCGAAAGGGCCATAGCACGATATCAAATTGGGCGCAGGAAGTCGTCGACCTCACCGACTCGCCGGAGGCCCCGGAATCTTTCGTGCTTCCTGAACGCACCCACGCCCGATCAAGTTCTTTCGCAGCATCTTCTCGGCCTACTAGCTCAGCATCGAACGGTCCGCTTGCGATCCTTACGTACTCGCCCACACCTACCAAGCAACGCTCGCCCCGCAAAGCTCCGCCCATCTCTCGACCAGCCACTCCTCCCCTGGCACCTCCCAGTCCCACCAAGCTCGTCTCGCCCTCGAAAAAGAAGCCCGTGATCCCCAAGGCGGCCGATCTAGACGGGAGACCAAGCCTCGACGCGTTCTGGAATCCTGCAGCTGTAAACGACTGGACTGACCGCCACTCGCCAGCTAAGCAGCTCGTGTCGCCCAAGAAGCAGAAATGGAGGGATGACATAGTCAAGATGATGGAAGGTGTTGCTCTAGAAGACAGCAGTGACGAGGGTTATGAAAGTCCCATCGAGAGCCCCAAGAAGAAGAAGCCCACAAGTCGGAAACCAGCTAAGGAGAAGACACCAGAGACTGAGCCGGTCCCGAATGTCAAGCAGATCCGTGAGCAACGCAAAGCCTTCGCCGAACGCAAGCACGCCATAGCCGAAGCCTTCCTCATCGAGCTCGACACCACAATCTCATCAGGTCGCATCCACGAGCTCTCGAAACCCACAGGTGGTATCAAGCTCGTCTGGTCAAAGACCCTCAAAACAACGGCCGGTCGTGCGAATTGGCGTAGAGAGCAAATACGCATCCGAACCGGTCCCCTGCCCACCGACATGCGCGTTGAGATCCGACACCACTGCTCCATCGAACTCGCCGAGAAGGTCATTGACGACGAGGAGAGACTCTACAACGTACTCGCGCACGAGTTCTGCCACCTGACCACGTTCATGATAAGCGAAGTGCGCAACAACCCCCACGGAGCAGAGTTTAAGTCCTGGGGTCGCAAAGCTACCGTCGCGTTCGCCAGCAAAGGCGTCGAGGTCACCACGAAACACTCCTACCAGATCGAATACAAGTACGTTTGGGAATGCATCTCCTGCGGCTACGAGTTCAAGCGTCACTCCAAGTCCGTCGATCCGGCGCGCCACTCATGTGGCAAGTGCAAGGGCAAGCTCGCGCAGACCAAACCCACCCCTAGGGGCGTTGGCGCCAGTGCTGCTGTAGGCAAGGATGGCAAGAGGGAGAAGAGCGAGTACCAGGTCTTTGTCAAAGCCAACTTTGCGCGTGTCAAAAAGGAACTTGAGGCGGAGGGCAAGGATGCGCAGATGGGCAAGGTGATGGAGGTTGTGGCCAAGCAGTATAGAGAGAGGAAGGGTGCGGGTAGTAGTAAGGGGAAGGAGATCATTGATCTAGAGGCTGCTCTGGATGATATGAAGATCTAGATCTAACAGTTAACGAATGAAGTACATGAACATCTCTAAGCTTGTGGGTCGTGCGTCTTTGTGTTCTTTCGTGTTGGGCTGCCTAGCAAAAACGCAAGTCGCTTAAGTGTGTTGTGGAAAAGTGAAAAGAGGGATGCAAAAAGGTGATGTTCTTTGCTAAGGCAAAAAAAGATGTAGGTTGTATACGGGCTCTCTAAGGCTCCTACGCTCAAGCTCCACAGGGTCGTAATACGGCCACGAAGGGCTCCCTGCAGATGTCTGCTACCGAGATTCGAACTCGGGGCAATGGCCTTTACACTCGCTCACAGCGAGTAGGATGGTTACGCTGTGAACAACCATAGCAGACTGCTTGATGGAGAATTTGAGAATTAAACATTACATATAGTTGATTCAGATCAAAATACAAAGTTGGATATGGGGATGCTGCAGCGCTGATCAAATAGTGAATGCGAGGCGATGTTCATCAGTTTGTATGGGGTGGAGAAGTGAAGGTGAAGCCGGCGATGGGAAGTGCGTGCGGAGTGAACAAATCTTAGATCAGGCGTACAGCTCTACTTGACTGCATCTGAAGCTGAAGTTAATAAGTGTTGGATAAGTTTAAGATTTACATTAGACTAGATGTGGTATATTAGTAACAAGTAGAGGTGCGTTGTATGTATACATTATTCTAGTAACTTTAAAACATCGAATAAGAACTGACATCCTCCAGCCCACCACAGCAACCTTCACTCCAACAGACCAAAGTGAGGCCAACAGGTCCTCACCACACTCTACCTAGACTTATAGCGCCTCGACTTAGGCCTCCAATACCCCTGATGGGTAGCGAGAAACCGACCCTTCTTCTGAGCCTCTGTCGGCTCATATCCTTCCTTCTCAGGAGCATCTGGCAACTCGCCATCAACCCCATCTACCGCTGTATACACCCAGGTCTCATCTATATGCCCAGGACACTTTCCACAGAACTTCATATACGGCCGGTTCCATCGCCCACACGCACAGCACCAGTCCCCGTCGTACTTGGCCCGACACGGCCACGGTTCCTCTATACCCGGGCCGGGTTCTTGCACGCGGACACTGTCCTTTCGGACACCATCACACGGAACACCACCTACTCCTCCCACGTTGCCTCGGCAGACATCCGTATACTTGCCGTTCCAAAAGCTGCAACGGCAGAGCCAGTCTTCTGCTCGAGGTATGTATGGGCCGGGAAGGCGGCCTGCTTTCTTGGCGGCGCGCTTTTCCTCCCGTGCTGCATTAGCAGCGAGCTTTTCCTCCGCTACAGCGGCAGGACAGGGCTTTCTGGGATGGTAGTCGCTACTCGCGCACGATATGTGGCACCCCGGATCGGGATTCGGGTTGAGGTAGGCTGTGACGGGGCCAGGCAAGGTGGGTGCAGTCGGAGCTGCAGTTGGTACGACTCGGGGTACCTTACGGCTGGTGGCGGATTGGTCTATAGATATATTAGTTCACCATGTCTATCAGTAAGACCATTGATCAGAGAAACGTACCAAGCTGGGAGGTGTCTTCCTCCGCTTTCCTCTTCCGCTCACTCCTCGCCTTCTCCTCCTCTTCCTCTTTCTTCTTCCTCTCCTCTTCCTCTTGTTGTTGCTGCTGCTGCTGCCTCTCCCAATCTTTCAAACTGGCAGTCAGTCTCACCGAACCCGCTCCAGTGCCCAAAAATTTGCGGCAAAGGTAGTCAAGGTAGGCCGCCACTTCTGGATCAGCCGCCGCCCTTTCGCGCATCTCACGCTCCTCTCTATCGGCCTCCTTCGCTTTGCCCGGAGGCAGCTTCTTCGCCTTTTCCAGCATCGTCTCAAAGTATGACGGCTTTGCGGCAGGTGCCGACGGCGCAGGGGTTTCGTTTGCGGCAGGCATTGTGGTTTGTGTGTGATGGGAAACGGAATTAAAAGCGTGTGATGAGAGGAGAGATTGGAGAAAAGTATGGAGGATGCGACACTGAAGATTTTTTGAGGTGAGCGTTTGTTGTGTGTTGACACTATTTCACTGTCACTCGCGGTGAGGAGGCGCTCCTCACCGCAACGCGTCACCGTGCAATTTCCCTTTCACCTTGAGAAAGACACGGGCAATTTCAGAGCCCTTACTTCAAACCCCCGTTCTCCTTGATACCCACAGCAACCCTCTCTCGACCTGTCCTACAAACCATGGATCCTCGTACGCTTCATCAAAATGACCCAAAGACGTAAAGAATATCCTTCCACCCTCGAACTCTTGACACCATACCAACGGATGATCATCTCCGTGTTTACCTCCTTGGAACGTCTTCGGATCACCTTTAAGCAAGATCTGGAGGTTCTTATTCTCTCTTGGATGAGTGTGGAAGTTATACCATTCGTCCTTCCAGCCCTCACGCCCACCACAGCAGTTCATGATCTGGTGTTTTTGGCCAGACTCTTCAGGAACGACGGTACCAGGCTCAGGATCGGGATGCATGTCGAAACTGGCTCCGACCAAGTTTGTGTAGTATTCGTTGCCTTGCATAGCTGCAGCTGCGCCGTGGATAGCTACGATACCGCCGCCATTCTTCACCCAGGTCCTCAAAGCTCCTAGTTCGGATGGAGTGAAGATGTCGTCGCCGATGTTTTGCAGGAGGACGATGACTTGATATTGCGCGAGAGAAGACGAGGTGAACAGCGAGGCGTCTTCACTAGCTGTGACTTTAAAGAGATTCGTATCGCTGGCTAACTTGTGGAACATGCGGATACCAGCTGGGATAGAGTCATGACGGTAGCCTGTGGTCTTGCTGAAAACGAGGACGTTGAATGCTGTGGCTTTGGCCATGTTTGCGCACTGTCTGGGCGGTTGTCTATGAGGCTTCGGCGCTTCTACATAACCTGGGAAGTTATACTGTTGTGTAGCGCTACCGAGGATATATGGTTCATGGAATATCAACTAAATTAGGCTGATTTACCATCTACCGGCGGCATATGACGTCATGCATACCAGCACGGGTTGAAGACGAGGTACAATGAGTAGCTGGACCCAGCTGTCTGGCGGTGGCCCTGCGTGCAGTGCTGGAGTGAAACACGGCGCAGTAGCCAAGGTGTCGTATAATGTTGAATTCTTTGTCCACTCATGGCCTCGACGATCTGAAGACTACGACACACAGAAAGCACGAACTTACAGTCTTGCTGGAGAAGGCACCTCCCAGCTGGCGGCGATGTTGGAAGACGCGACACGATGCTAGCGCACTTACCCTTGTCGACGCGCCATCCCGGTTCCGCTTCCCCCACTTTTCCATCACGTAGACCCTTCGGCATCACCACCGTTGTCACCATTCTCGTCTGCCACTCCTCGCAGGACTCGCAGACAATATATTCAAACACCGGTAGCTACCCTGCATGTCACTTAGACTGTAGCTTTAGAGGAAAGCGTTAGGTTCATCTGAGCAGACAAACACCGCATCCTAATATCGAAACCTGGACTACTCCCATTTCAGCACCCTTCACACCAGGCAGAGTCAAACACTTTCACAAGAAGCCGATTTATAGATTATCTTGGATCATGAACACCGGAGCGACGGGATCAACCCACCTCGGCGACGTCCCATATCCCCCTCCACCCGAAGCATGCGAGGGCGAAGCACCTTCAATACTCGAACTGCCGCCTGGAGATTACTACATCCGAGAGTTTCTAAGCCTGCTAGAACCCACACATGCTCTGCGAAAACATGGCTACAACTTTGCACAGTTGACAGACGAGGAGATTCATCTGAAACGAAGATGCAGTAAGTGCAATCAAAGTAAGTACATGCTCAGTGCCTGGATTGTGCACATTGATTCTGAGAGTATTGCTAAACTCCTGGTAGCTATCCAACAGCTTAGCAAGGGCCTGCAACAAGCCATAACGCGCCGTAGTCAACAACTTCTCTCACATCTACCGGACACACCCTACAAGACATTGCCAAGTATGATCGTACCATACGAGAACGGTACCTCTGGATTTCAGTATTGCACAATAGAGTGTCACTACCACTCGGCACCAGTTGACCGTGCTACAAAGGTGAGCGCAGTCTGGCCCTACTTTGCCTAACCCAACTAATCTTGTTAGTGCTGGTTGTGTTGCGGAAAGCACGTCTCGGAGGCCCAGCCATGTAGGACTTCCGACAAGCACAGGATACGCGAATATCGACCAGGTGAGCTCGAACGCCTACATCAATTCCAACCGACTCCATCTTTCCGTCATTGGGATGCGGACCGCAGGATGAACGCCAAATTTGCCGTAGCGATCGATTGCGAGGTATGTTCTAGCTCCACAGAACGTGTGTGAAACATACTGACTTCTCACCCCCATTCTGAAGATGGGAACAGCCAGGAGTGGAGATTCTGAGCTCATTCGCCTGAGCGCCATCGATTACTTAACCGGTGAAGTGCTCATCAACAACCTTGTCAAGCCTGATCAACCAATGCAACATCTCAACACAAAGTGGTCGGGCGTTACATGGGATCAAATGAACGAAGCTATAAGAGAGAAGACCACGCTAAAGGGGAAGGCAAGTCACTACGTGAAGAAGCTGAAGGAAGACATGTACTGACTTTGTACACCAATTTTAGGTTGGGGCGAGAAAACTGTTGTGGAGATTTGTCGGTCCAGACACTATTCTCGTCGGACACAGCGTTCATAATGACCTCAAGGCACTGAAGTGGATACACACAAAGGTGGTAGACTCTTACGTCGTAGAGCACAAGATCATTCAGGAGAAGAAGGCAATCGAAGCCAGAGAAAAAGAGCTTAGTGAAGAGGCGGCAAGAAGGGTGGAGGAGTGCCTTCTGGAGGTCACAGGACTAGCGACGAGTAGCATGCTCAGCCCATCGACCGATGCCCAGACAATAGGCGACTCGACCAACCCTACTGAGGGTGAGCCAAAGAAGAAGAAGAAAAAGGGCACGGGTGATCTGGCGTTGAAGACACTGCTGAAGAAATACCTGGACACGGACATTCAGACCAAAGGCAATAAAGGTCATGATAGCTTGGAAGATGCAACTGCGGCGCGCGATCTAGTTCACTGGATGGTTATGCGGAGACTCCAGGAGAAGTATGGCGTCCTAATGTAGAAGGGCCTGGAAAACGTCAGTTCTTTTTCGATGTTTTTACGTCTAATTACTAGAATAATGTATACATAGAACGCACCTCTACTTGTCACTTATGTACTACATTTAGCGCAATGCATACCTCAAACCCACCCACGGTCAGCACCTAGTAACTTCAGCTTCTCATTGTAGCCTTCAGCACTCCGAAAGGCTGGACTGAACAATATACGACTACAACTCAGTCTTTTCAGCATCAACATTCAAGTCCCAATCAATGCCACCATCTTTGCCATAACGCTGCTCCAGCCATTCGTTGCACTTCCTAAAGTGACCGTTGTCAAACTACACATCGTTAGCACTTGAATCATGACATGCCGGAAGGCGATACTTACGAAGCCTCTCGCCGCACTCAGCGGGCTGGGATGTACGCTCTTCAGCACAAGATGCTTGTCCACCGGAATGCCCTTGGTCCTCTGCTGCGCCGGACTGCCCCAGGCCAGGAAGACAACACCATTCGTCCGTACCTTAGCCACAGTATCGATGACCTTTTGCATAAGCAGCTCCCAGCCCTTGCCCGAGTGTGAGTTTGCTTCGCCGCGACGGACGGTCAAGCAAGTGTTGATGAGCAGAACACCACGATCAGCCCATGGAGTCAAAAGACCACCCTTGTTCGGGGGTCGCTTGTAGTCTGGGTACTCCTTTTCGAGGGCCTTGTAGATGTTCATGAGCGAAGGAGGCGCAGGGTTCGGTGGACGGATGGAGAAGCAGAGACCGTGGGCTTGGTTGGGGCCGTGGTATGGATCTTGGCCTGTGATGACGACCTTGACGGTGTTGAGGGGTGTGTGTCGCGACCTGACCAGTATTAGTCTTCGTTACTCAAGCTGGCACCCGGAAGATATGGGAAACCGTACCAGGAGTACACGTCCTTCATCGGCGGGTATACAGTCTTCCCACTATCCAGCTCCTTCTTCAGGAACCTCTTCAATTCGAGAAATTGGGGTGTCAGCAGCACATCCTTGACATGCGGCAGCCAGCTCTCGTGTAGCGTGTCGAGCTCAAGTTGTAGCAACTCTTTCTGCTCATCCGTGAGTTTGGAGACCCATGCATCTCTATCGAACTTCGCAGCTGCAGCAGATTGCTTGGGTGGTGCATTGGGGTTGGGTTTCGGGGCGCCAAAGAAGGCGGTAATGCTACCGTTCTGCTTGGGCTTCTTGGACGCGTCCGTGGCCGCTGCCGCTGCTTTACGCTTTAGGCTCATGGTGGCACTGTCAATTGATGTAGAATATGGGGAAAGCGGAGACGCGTGGAGCAACGAAGATAATAGCAAGGAAACTATGACGAGTCGTAAAAGTATCGCGACGATTGCAAGCATCTCCCAGCCCCAGATATTCGCGTCGGGGACGTGACGTCGGACACGACCTGTCATTTCCGCCCGAGGACGTTGATTGGCCGCCGCGTGGCAGAGCAACACGTGAGTACGCGCGACGCGTCCGAATCACGTGACATGACATCACACCCTGCCCTGACACAGTCCGCAACATGGCACAAGGATGCAAGCAGGCTGCAGTGGCCTCCCCATCAAGATGACCGTTTTTCCGGCAAATCAGACGTGAGCGGACGTTTGATCGACACTAACATGCCTCGAGGTGGAGACTGAAGCCTGATGCAGGCTCGCATGCAGGCGTGCTGCCCGCATTTGTGACGTGTTGCCTAGGGGAAGCAAACAGGAGCGCGTACAGGTGAGGGGATATAAACAGACCTACTTCGTCTTTGCTTCTTCTCTCATCTTACAACCAATCTGACCCATCTTCTCAAACTACAACACTCAATCAGACCTCTATCAAACACAATCATCAATCATGGCTTCTTCCAACCCTTCCAACTTCGCCAACCTCCCCAAGGACAAGCTCAGTGAGATTGCCGCCAAGGGCGGCCATGCCTCTCACGGCTCTGGCAACAGCGAAGTAAGTCGTGCCGGATACCCTCACTCTACTGTGCAGTGACTGACCTTTTGTCAAGTCCACATCCACCGGCAGCAGCGGCAATGCTGACCGTAACCCTGACGGTACCTTCACCAAGGGCTCAGACCTCGCGAAGGAACTAGGCGCTCAAGGTGGTCATGCTTCCCACGGTGCTACAGACTCCACGTCCGACAGCAGCGAGCCAGGCCGCAACCCAGATGGCACCTTCACCAAGGGCTCAGAGGTCGCCAGCAAGCTTGGTGCTGAGGGCGGCCACGCATCCCACGGTTCTTCCAACGACTCTAGTGCTCAGACTTCCAGCAACGAGAGCGGCGTAAGTTGTCCTGAAGTACGGTCGATGAGTTCGTAGCTAACATATTCCACGCAGCGCAACCCTGACGGCACTTTCAAAAAGGGCAGTGAGCTCGCTTCCGAGCTAGGCACACAGGGCGGACATGCCTCCCACTAGAAGCAACACGTATGATGTGCCTACCGATCCTTCAGTCCGAACTTCATCATATGTCCATGAATGACGGCCCAGCATGGAGGAAGATACCTGGACATTAGGGTACTATCATGCAGGGTCATAGCCTAATCACGATATCATGAATGAATGCAGAGAACAATACATGACTCAGTTGTTCATCTCGTAACGTACTACATGTTGTGATGCTTAGGCCTCGAGGGACTCACATGCATCTACAGTGTTTTCTAACCGCTGTAGCCCAAGGCGTCTAGTTCCTTCTTGATCTGCTTCTCGGTGCTGATCTTCTTGACCTGGGTGTCCTCTAGTTTCTCTCCGCCGGCTTGACGCATCTTCAGCTCATCGATGGCGCGCATCTTCTTCAGCAAACCCCTGATCTTCTTGTCCTGAGGGTTACCGCCATCACCAGGGCTGGTGACGGTGAGGTCAGGGGGAGGACCCTGGCTCTCGGTCTGGATCGGAGGAGGGGCCTGAGCCTGAGCTGGAGCTTGCTGACGCTGCTGCGCAGGGTTCTGGCGCTGGTTACCGTCCGGGCGGGCTTGACGGTTTGGGCTGTTGCCAAAGTTGCGGTGCTGGCTGGCGCTACGTCCTTGCTGCTCATATCCGCTCTTGCTGCGACTGCGCTGGCGACGTTCTGGGCTACGTCCAGCTCCGTTGGGTGCATTGGCGCCGTCAGCGCCGAGTCCAGCAGCCTTGTCAGCGGCCTCGCGAGCCTTCTTGGCCTCTCGCTTCTTCTTGTTCTTCAAAGCCGCCTTAGAGAGCTCTCCATCGCCATCCTGAGCGCCTGTGAGACTAACACCGCCACCAGGAGCGGCGCCCGGTGGAAGGGTCTCAGCAGCCTCCGCACCTGGTACCTCACGACGGCGCGGCTTGCCAAATCCATTGGCGAAGCCAACGTTCGTGGAAGAGATACCGGTGTTGGCATAAGCTGCGCCTCCTTCATCTTCACGCTTAAAGTGTAGGGGTGTAGCGGTTCCGCGCGCTCCGGGGGGACGGTAGGCACCCGCAGGCTTGGACGGTGTCTTCTGGGTGCTGAGGTAGGCGAGCGCAGACGGATGCGGTGCCGGTACGTTGGTCAAGGGGTCGGTCAGAGGGTACATCGAGGTTGGCTGAGGGCGCCAAACGACGTGGTAGAGTTCGGCCATGTCCTCGTTGTACATGAGGCCTCCGCTGACATGGTAGATGCGAACACCGTTGTCAACACGAAGACGCGGGCTAGTAGTAGCCGTAAGAATATGCTGCCCATCCGGACTCCACGCGCAATAGGTCGAGTTGGAGGTCTTGACGTGGCAGACCTTGGCGAAGTTCTTCTCAAGATCGTAGATGTCCATATCTCCAGCTAGATTACCAAAACCGGCGACGATGACGAAGCGACCGTGGGGACTGAAAAGGATAGTGTTGCGTGGGCCTAGGTCGAAACTGTGTTGTGCGACCGCGCGCTGGTTGAAGATGGTAGTCTTTGCGGGCATGTAGCCATAGGTGACACCGAACTCCTTCGAGTTTGGCGACCAGGAGACGTCGTGAATAGGACCCTCCTTGTCTAGCTGGATGCGCGAATCGAAGGTGCCGTTGGCGCTGAGAATGTACATGTTCGTCTCGCCGTAGTAGCTCTTGTTCGTCTTGTCGACCTCAGTTTGGGCTAGGACAATCAAGCTGGTACCGAGATCGTTCCACTTTAGCTGGACCTTGTCGCCCTTGAAGAAAGTCTTCTGGGATACCGGCTGGCTGAATTGAGGGACCTGGAAGACCTTGACAGCAGCGGGCATACCCTTGCGCTCCGGAACAAAAACGGCAACTGAATGGTTCTTGCCTGGGGCGAGCGCCATGTCGGTCACTCCCTCCACGCGGAGCTTGTTCCAAGGGTTGCGCAAATCGCTCGACTGGAAGAACTGCACCTCGTTTGTTACAACGCGCGCACAGTACTTCTCGTCGGACGTGTACTGCAAGTTCCAGCCACTCTGGTTCTTCTGAACGTATTCGCCGATGACTGCCCGTGATCCGTCATCTTCAGCTTCGTCGGAGAGCGTCTTCCAGACCCGGAGGTTCTTCGCCGCGTTGCCGTCTTCGTCCTTGGATGGGCGCTGCCATGTGATGAGGTATGTGCCGAGCGGGGAGAAGCCGAGCTCGTAAACGTTCGGTGTGGGGAGTGTGGTAATGACGTTGCCGACTGAGGCGTCAATCACCGAAACCTGTTCAGGTGTTGCCCATGCGAAGTACTTGCTATCGGGCGAGTAGCAGCAGCAGCGAAGGTTGCCTTCGGGTCTGTTGTGCAAGTCAGCGTCAGAAGTGGACACGCATGTGCGCGAGAAGTTGTTGTATAGTCCAAACACTTACCGTACGAATCCTGGAAGAGCCTCATACACTGGAGCAGCGTTGAAGATCCCGATGCCCTTGGCGGAGCGGTCTGCGAGTCTTGTTAGCGTGTCTCACGCCCGACTGTGCGGAGGGTGCGTACAAGCCAACTGTGTGGGAACAGCCATGATAACTAGTAAAAGTCACAGGAAGTTGTACAAGTGGGCGTGGGGCAAGGTGCTGGTGGTCGCGAAGTCTGGCTCACTGCTGAGCTCGGTTTTGTGGGT